ACCTTTGCACGATTAAGATGGTTGCCGATTCAGTGGTACCAATCAAGTGAAAAATATGATATTTGTCCATAGCCAATGTTAAGTTGGCGACAATGAATTTTTTAAATTAAGCACCACATTCGATTTCGTCGCACCTAATTTAAAATCAGCGTAAGTGATTCATTATTGCCAATTTAAAGTTGTGTACGGACAAATATTACTATTGTTTTCACTTGAATTAGTGGCTATGGTGAACAGTGAACAGAAAAAATCCCATTTATTACACGTCACGTTTGACACATTTGTCACAGAATTACATTATACCAACATAAACAAAAGAAAAATTCGCATTTTTATTTAAGAATCAGTGGCGGCTCGTGACCTAAAATTTTGGTGAGGCCACACCTTATGACGTAAAAATAGTTAAATACATATAATTTTTTTTATATCTGTAAATTACTCTACTCTGTCAGTTGAAAGTGATACCTGAACATTTTACAAATCACGATTCAAAAAATTTCCACTTCCATTTTGCCCACACTTGGCGACTTACTTAAGGAATTTGAAATTGTAAGTTGGTTTTATACGTCAATACTAGATGAAAATTTATTGAATCACGAATTCGCCATTTTTTGATCACAGGAAATTTCAATATAAAAAAATATTAACAAAAATGCACCACATAATCAACTGTCCGGCAAGAACCGACGTGGAGGTGTAGAGTTTTCTTGCCAGGAAAGAAGGATAGGGCAGAATAGGAAACAGGAATGATAACAAGTGGAAAGGTTAAAACAAAGGTAAATAAAAAATGTGGCAAAACAATAGTAATATAAGTAAAATGAAAACTTAATAAAAATTCTAGATTTCGAACAACCGCTTCAAAACCGTGGTAAATAACAAAAAAAGATTTATAAATAATATAAACAATAACAATATTTATGGATTTTGAACAATGCTTCAAAACCTTTAAAACAAAAATATAAAATCTAGAAGCGAATTCTGAACAAAATAAAAACTAAAACAAAAATTGAACATGGCATGCATACCCATTTAAATTTGTTTATAAATAAGTGGAATTCTCCGATTTTTTTGTTGTGCGAAATGATTTATAACTTCTTGGGTAAATTGCTCTGACATATTGTTTTTGACAAGTTCTTTTTCTATTGAAATCTGGCACATATTATTCAATCTGTCTTGGCCAGTTGTATTTCGCGCGTAATTCTTAATACGTTTTAATGCAGAAAAACTTCTCTCTACAGAAACTGATGTCACGGGTAAAGTTACTACTAAACACAGCAGTTTATACAATTCTGGCATGCAACTTTGAAGATTATTGTCGTATATAAATTTAATCATTTCAACCGGTGTCCCAGAAGTTTCTAAAATTTTGTCGTTATAAGCCACAATTAATTCATTTTTTAATTGAATATTATCAAAAAAGGGATACTGCTTAATCAAATCATTTAAAAGTCGGTCGGGAAAATTTTTGGCATAAGACGGAAAATTAGCATTATTTAGTAAATCAAAAAAAATCAATTTTTCTAAATCAAGAAATCTAATTTCTATTTGATTTATTATTGTGTCCAAAATTTCAAAAAAAAATGTGCCGAAGTTGCTGTTCTTTATTGGGTAATTCATCTGTTCTGCGACGTTTTGGAGTGGATTCTTCAGTGGCATCTATATCAAGTTTTTTATAAATGTTATTGAAAAAGTCATCACATCCCCTAAAAGCACGTAATTTAGATAAAAGTGACTGTAAATAATTCCTCGCTTTAGTGATGTCTGTCAACTTTTGTTGTAAAACAGAAAATATGACGTCAGTTTGTTCAAAAATCAATTTAAACGTTTCTAGCAAAAATAAGAACTTATGATCTTGTAAACTATTTTTTAAACCTACCGCTTCTCGAATTGAAACTGCATCAAATTCAGAGCTGTTAATTATAAAGCCAAAAACTTCAATTAATTGTTCTTTGTAAGCACAAACTGTAAAAATTGCACGAGAGCTAAAATTCCATCGAGTTGGTGCGCTAGTTGGTAGACGGCTTCCACAAATTTTATCTAAAACGCTAGTCCTTTTGGTTGACTTTGAAAAATAAGAAGAGAATCCCGACAAAGTTGAAAAAAAAATTCGCACTGCTGGTTGAATGGTGCTACAAGCTTTGCCCAATACTAAATTTAAACGATGTGCATAACAATGTGTAAAAGTTGCTTGAGGTGCCACACTTTTAACTTTTAATTGTAATCCACTGAGTTCCCCAGCCATAACCGCTGCACCATCATATGTTTGTGCTATTAATTTATCTTTTAGATTGTATTTACTGAAATTATGTAGCAATAATTGAAATAAATCTTCAGAAGTTCGTCCAGAACTAACATCGAAAAACCCCATGAATCTTTCGACAATTTTACCGGAGATAACGTAACGAAAAATAACTGATAATTGCGATTTACAACTTATGTCAGTCGTTTCATCAATCTGCCAGGAAAAAAAAGGAGCTTCAAAAATTTGTTTGCTAATGTTCTTGTTTATAACAAAAGAAATTGATTCAACTAACTCGTTCTGAATCGTTTTTGAAGTACCGGAAAACACGGATTTATTGTCAGAATCTTTTTCCAAAAAATTTCTCAAACAAGTGTCATATCTACTCAACAATGAAATTAATTCTTTAAAATTTCCGCGATTGAAAGACGTTTCTGACTCGTCATGTCCTCTAAAGGGAAGCTCTTGTGTGCACAAAAATATAATAATAATAATAATAATAATAATAATATGTATTTAATGTCGAGAAAGATACAAAATCCATAAGACGACATATCGAAAATAGAACTAAACATGTGCAAACTAATTACAAAAAAAAGAAATACATAAAAACTAAAAATAATTAATCCATACAACTTAAAGATTTTTCAGGTAGCTGTTTAAAGAAGATAAAGTTACATTAAAAAAGTCCAGATAATTTGAAATTTTGTTTATAGATCTAACTATATTATCCATAGGTGCATGAAACGTAAAATTAGTACGATGAAATCTAGGTATAAAAGTTTCAGAGCAACGAGAACCTAATCTAGGTACTCTAATATCAAACAACATAACTAGGCCAGGGCAGTCAATGCAATTCTGGAACAACTTATAACCCAAACGAATTTCAGCTTTTTGTTTTCTACTCTCCAGTAGTTCCAGGTTTACAAGTACAAGCCTTTGGTCATAGCTATAATTATCCTTATTTATTCCCATTTTAAAAAGTAGGTAATTGACAAACTTACGTTGTACTCTTTCAAGACGATCAACGTGGGTTTTATAAAATGGGAACCAAATAACAAAACAATATTCAAGAATCGGTCTAACTAAAGTTACAAACAATTTGTGTAGACAACTAATATCCCAAAAATCAATAGACTGACGTTTGATAAAGCCACAAGTTCGAAATGACTTATTCAGAACAAAATCAAAATGACTAGCAAATCGTAGCTCTGAATCTAAGATTACACCCAAGTCGTTGATTTCAGAAACGCGTTCGAGAGTAACATTATTCAAAGTATATGGAAACACAATACAGTTAGATCTACGGGTAAATGTTATAACCTTACATTTATCAGTGTTTACTCCCATAGAGTTGTTAACGCACCAAGAACTAATGATTTCTAGTTTATTTTGAAGTAAATGACAGTCGTTAATACTAGAAATTCTACCAAAAATTTTTAAGTCATCTGCAAACAATAAGCAATCATCGAGTAGACAAGCCAAATCGTTAACAAATAAGGAAAACAAAACAGGTCCAAGATGGCTGCCCTGTGGAACACCTGACGTCACAATAATTGGATTAGAATAATGGTTCCCTAACTGAACTATTTGAGACCTCTGTTTTAAGTAAGATTCGATCCACTTAGCAACATCAATTAACCTTTTAATAATTTCTCTATTTTCGCGAACTTTGGCATTAAAATTTTCTATTTCAATTTTGCGAGCAGAATCTAGAGTACTGGCAATATTCTGTTGGCCGAGAAGAACAAACTTGCAAGTAGATGATATGTGATCTTTACTTTTGGAATGTTTTTCCAAGGAACGCGACAAATTTTTCAAATCTGCATATCCAGTTTTCCACCAAACCGATTCTCCACTATTCGAGAATAAAATACATGGCCAACAGAAAAGTTTATTGACAATTGTACTCCCAGCAAGCCAATCATATTTTGTGTACCAATTGAGACTGAACGCCCTGGTTTTTTGTTTTTCTCTTTGAATTAATGTTAAGCTTAGATCTGGACATGGACGTTCGCTTTCCTTTACAAACAATTTATCTTCGTATGTTAACTTATTGAAGGGACATTTATTCACGAGGAAGTTAACAATGTCATTTGTATTTCGAACTGTGGAGATTACCTGAGTACCAGATGGGCCTGCATCCATGTTCATTATTATTTAATTAAGTACAAATAAAATTAATCGGAGTATCCACAATCCACCCGTTAACCAAGTACCGAACTCTATAACGACAATGACTGAAATTTAAAATTAATGCACACTGCAAAATGCAAGAGTAGGAGAACCAATCAGATAAGAGCTGCGGCCGGCCTCAAGACTATCTGTCCTAAAGCATTTGATTCCCATAGTAAGCGGTAGCGGTAATACTCTCCGTTGTAAAAACTTCGAGCCTCCTAGTCCCATATTTTAATCAACCCGTGAGGCCGGCCTAAACGCATGATAATACCAGTGATGAATAATACATGATTGGTTAGAATGACGCTGCGCCTTTATTTTGTGGTTGGCATAGAAACTTCAGTTGTCGCGCTAATTTTAAATTACCCCGTACAACAAAATGGTATGGAAGAAAAACATTTTTAATGATTATGTATGGTGAGGCCCTGCCTCACCTGCCTCACCTGACAAGCCGCCACTGTTAAGAATTACCATTGGTTGGCAGCGTACTTAATGTGTAAAATGCAGTGCAGTGATAGTTATGACAGAGTGTGAGGAAAATTTGGTTAGTTGGCTTTGTCTAAGCTGGTGATATTACGCCAAAGGTTGGCAACACTGCTTGTGCTAGTTTGACGTTTGACGTTTCTGTGGTTCGGTTGTTTGTTTTTAGTTCGCAACCAGAAATTTCGACTACTTCGTCATTTTAAACATTCAAAACAACTTCTCAGTGTTTATTCGAACCTAGTGTTGTACAGCTACAACCCCAGAACACCTTCACAAACCCCCATAACCTAACCTAAAATGCCCAAATACTACTGCGATTACTGCGATACCTACCTCACTCACGACTCCCCGAGCGTGCGAAAAACCCACTGCACTGGTAGAAAACACAAAGACAACGTCAAATTCTACTACCAGAAATGGATGGAAGAGCAAGCCCAGCATTTGATCGACGCCACAACAGCCGCCTTCAAAGCCGGAAAGATCGCAAACAATCCGTTTGCTCAACCAGGTAAAGGCGTCGCTATCCCGCCTCCTGCCCAACTCACGATGGGCCAGAGGCCCGGTGCGCCCGGCGCACCTGGAATGATGCCCCCAAGTACGTACCCCAACAACATTCCTCACATATTAATTAACAAACAAACGTGTTTTATTGCAGCAATGGGACCTGGTGGACCCATGCCACCAATGATGATGGGGCCGCACGGACCCATGCCCCCCATGATGGGGATGCGACCGCCAATGATGGGTATGATGCCCATGGGACCAATGGGCCCCATGGGGGTGCGGCCGCCCATGGTCAACCCGCCGCCGCAAATGAAAAGTTAAGACGAGTATGTAGATTTAGGGTGTGTATATTTAGGTTCTAGGTTTAAATAAAGTGATTTTTTTTAATCTTGTGAATACTTACCCCAAATGAAAATGACGATATTTGAGAAAATAAACGTGGCTAAGCGTCGTACGAAAAGAAAACTTTTATTTACAAATCCAATATATTAAAATTTATAATAATTTATAACTGGATTAACAAAACCTTGATCAGAAAGCCTCACCTTATGTATCTACAGAAGATATTTATTTGTACAGTACGAATTGTATCTGGATGGTGTAAAGTATCTTATAGAATAGTATAATAATAATATATAAAAAAGTACCTAATGGCGTGTCGACTAGACAGTGATAAATAAATTAAAGAGCATCAAAAATGATAGAGTAAATCTATGTACAAAGTAATATTCAAGCATTAGAACGCCGTTTCGAGGGTGGGTGGCACTGAGCATTTCTCTTTACTTTGTAAATTTTCAAATTGACTACTTTTCACTGGTTTTGATTGTACATCTGGGGCTCCGGTTGTAAAAAACTGGGCTCTTTGAGCCTGCAGCCGCTGGGAAATGGACGAATACGGTTGAGGTTCACCCGTAGGGGTGTTACTTCTGACGGACTTTTTTTTCTCTATAGAGTTACTAGGGCTCTCGTCTTCTCTACAATCTTCCAGTATTGTAGATGAGAGAACGTCGCTTCTGGGGTTGGCGAATCTCCACTGCGACCTCGGCGACAACAATTTAGGGGCAGGTTTAGGCTTCTCCGGCGTCGCTCTAGGGGAACTCTGCCCGTTGTTGAATTTGCGATTAACGAGACTCCTAGGCGATCCGCTCAGCTCTAAAATATTCAACGGAGTTTGAGCGGGTTTTTGAATCTGCTCTTTAGACAGCTTGAGTTGCTCCACAGCTGATAATTTTTTGGTGTTGCTAGCTAGTACGTTACTTTTTTGTAAAAGGAGTTTCTTAAAATCTAAGCGTGATGTTTGACTGGAACCCTTCCTGTCGCTACAAGCCCAACTAGATCTAGATCTAGATTCGTTGGGGGGCGAGAGTTTGTCGATGTCGGCGTTGAAGTCGACGTAGTCGCCTTTGGTGGGTGACCAGCTCAATCTAGATCTGGATTTGTCGCCGATGTAGCCCGTTTCGGGGGACTTGACCGGGGGCGGCGTTCTCACCTCCACGTTCACGTTAACCGGCGACGCCCGATTTTCGTCGGTGGTGATGTTCATCTTCTTCTTACTTTTATGAATCACCGCGTACAATTCTTCGTTACTCATGGTGGACTTTTTCGGGGATAGGAGCCGACTTTCCAGGTTGACGGCGGTTTTGGTTGACGGCGTCGACGACTGGAATCCACCGGAGTTCCGGGGGTCGATCGGCGAAATCTTGATCGAGTCGCTGCTGGTATCCGCGACTTTGTGGGGCGAAATGTGGGCAAAATACGAGTCGGGTTTGTCTTCATAAGGCACTTTGTGCTGTGGTAATTTGAAATTGCTCACGTCCGGGATTTTCACCGGGATGCCCAACCTCTGGTGGAGTAAATTCTCGTGCGGATACGAGTAGATATTCTTGGAATTGCGCTCTAATCCCCTCGTGATGTCCGGAGTGACCGACCTCTCGGGGTTAATCTCTTGGAAGAACTGCGTTCGTTTCGACGGAAGCGTCTGATAACTGGAGCCCCCTTTTTGGAAATAATACTGATTCTCGAACCTCCTCGCGTCGCCTCTATAACACATGTCTTTGTACTGGAGAGGTGCGTGGCCTCCTGGATAGTTAGATGGTGAGGGCACTCGGTCTGAAAGAAAAACATCGTCAAGGGTTGTTGCTCATTGAACGACTACCGGGTGGAACGAGATCGGGTTTCTGGGAACATGCAGCGTGCAATTCGAAGAAAAATAAAAAAGTCTCACCTTTTGGCATCTTCACATGCGACAATCATGCGATCGTGCAGTATCAAACGACGCGACGTGTGTGTGTACAATGTGCAACAGGAGTGAATACTGGTACAAACAATAGCGTAAGAGGAAATAAGTTCGACGTCAGGTGGAAGTTGGCAAGCTGTGAATGCTACGAGATATGATCCATGAACGGCTCGCCGCAGTGCAAAAGACTCGGTAAGCAGTTTTGAGCGCTGGTCTCTTGAGTGACTCAGGCATTAGTAGACTAAATAATTACTTTTAATTGCGTCCGAACCAATGTGTCGTCGGATGGTTAACCGTGCACTCGATCCGGCGCTAAAAAATAGGCGGGCGCGTTTTGGGTGGGCGGCGAATTCTTTGGGGTTTAGTAGAGTGAAAACGAGCTGACAATTATATGCGACCTTTTCAACACTAATAATGATAAAAAAAGTTACGAGCACAAAATGAAAAACTTATTTCCTCAACAATTACTTAGTTATGATTTGTCATCGTTCCCAAAGGAGGTAAGTTTTGTGAATCATGTGCTTTAGGAGAACACCTGTACTTGGAAATGTTTTTCTTGTTCAAGTCAGTTTTAGACCATTAATTATTCAAAAAAAATAATAGTAGTGGAACACAGAATGTATTTACTGTTTTCAGTAAATTCTTTCCGTTGTGACCTCAAAATTAATTTTAATCTTTCTATTGCTCTTCGAGCTTTGTTTTAGTTTTGGTATGATCAATATGGGAAGACTGATGAAAGCCCAGATATTTGTATCATTTCGTTTCGTCCTTGGGGTTCAGTTCGATTATTTCGTTGTTCTGGGTTATAGTTATTTTTGGAACCATACATTTTAATAATTTGTTACTTATTAATTCTTTTCCACATATGTGTTTGCCTGCAAAATGTTTTAACGTTATAGTAAGCATGGTAAAAGGTTAATAAAAATTTATGCGTTCATTTACTCCCAGAAAATGAATGACCTCATCACAAAATTTTGCCGAATAATTAATGTTATTTAAATTTTATACAATAACATACACCTGCACTTGTGGTTTATACATCTATGGATTCTTACATAGACATCCAGATTTTTGGAAAAAACTTAAAATTGTAATATTTGTACTCTTGCAGTTGTTATGGCTTTTATTACACACTTTATTTTTGGTATCAGTAGTAATCTTAGCGCTGATACGTGTTAAACAATGGCTGTGTAGTTTTATTACTAACAATGCAAAATATACGTTAAAAATATTACAATGAATTTGTAGTAACCGGAAATGTTAACAATTATATACCTCCAAATCGACCAGTTTCTAATGTAATAATTGACACAATATTTAATATTTTTTGAAAAAGTTGCTGAGAAACTTACGTTCATGGTGTGTTTACGGTTCTAGAGCAACATTTCCCAAATATACGGTTTGAAATTCAGTTTGTTTTTGAGTTCTAAAAGCTGTCATAAAGGGCCAAAAATTTCGTAGGTGATATTGAAAAATTGATTTTTGAAAAAGCTGCCCGAAAATTTACAAAAAAATTCAAGGATATTGATTTCGGGGTGCTGATTCTTAAAATATAGTGCGTTTATGATCCCGGAGCAACGTTTTCGAAATATTTGATTTGTATATAATTTTTTTTTTTTAATTTTAACTGCCAAATTTAATTAGTGATCTTGAAAAAATGGTAGCAATTTTCTTAGAGATGAATTCCAAAATAATTTCTGGAAGTTGAAATGCATATAAAAATTTTGGGTAAATTCCAAACATGGTCGAAAAAGGGCCAAAAAATTAGAACTTATATTTATTATAGTCCTATTTACTAACGTCACCTCGACATTTTTGATAATAAATTCCCGCTTTATTTTGCTTGATGTTTTTACCACTTGTTAGGATAAGACCGAAAAATAATCCCACTTGGTGGGAGAAGGGGTGGGTGGGCAGAGTCTTATAAACAAGCACTAGCCCCGCCCACCCACCCTCTCTTTCCTTGTAGGACCTGTTATTTGCAAAAATCAGTCTTATCTTAGCAAGTACTAGCCCCGCCCACCCACCCTCTCCTTCCTTGTAGGACACGTCATTTGCCAAAATCAGTCTGTTAAGATAAGATTGAAAAATAATAAGAGTAGTCATTAGGTAGGAGATGGGGTGGGTGGGCGGGGCTAGTACCTGCTAATGTAACACTGATTTTGCAAAAGTGACATACCCTCTAATTAAATACATATAGTACTTGTTAGGATAAGACTGAAAAATTATAAAGAGTAGTCATTAGGTTGGAGAGGGGTGGGTGGGCGGGGCTACTGCTTGTAGAAAAAAGCGAAACTCAGCCCCACTGCCCTCAATTTAATTGGAAGGTATGTCATTTTCCAGAATCACTTTTATAATAGCAGGTAGTAGCCCCACCCACCCACCCCTCTCCAACCCAATGACTACTCTTATTATTTTTCAGTCTTATCATAACAAGTACTAGCCCCGCCCGCCCACCCTCTATTTAATTATAGAGTATGTCATTTCTGCAAAATCAGTCTTATCTTACCAGGTAAGTAGCCCCGCCCACCCACCCCCTCTCCAGCCTAGTGACTACTCTTTTTATTTTTCGGTCTTATCTGAACAAATACTAGAACCGCCCACCCACCTTGGAATTAAATATTACTAATTTTCCACTAATATATATTTTGACTTAATTTATGGTACATTTTGATTTTAATAAAGACATTATTTTTTGAATAAATCATACTACTAACAAATATTTAATATGAGAGGGGTCTTTAACCTAGGTTACTTTGTCATTGTGAGATTTTTCAAAAGATTATATGAAGTTTAACACAAAAAAATCGAAACAATGGTGCTTTTTTTACAATATTTCTGTTACATTTTTTTGGTTAATTGAACTGTTTTCAGAGGCTTAGAACATAAAAAAACTACAATTTCATCTAGATCGTATCATTCTATGATAGAAAAAGGGGAAAAATTGTTATACCTCTTTCCTAAGGACCGATTTTGGAAAATGACAAATTCTCTAATTAAATAGAGGGTGGGTGGGCGGGCCTAGTATTTGATAGGATAAGACTAAAAAACAATAAGAGTAGTCACTAAATTGGCGAAGGGGTGGGTGGGCGGGGCTACCACCTGCTACGATAAAACTGATTTTAGACAGAGTTTTATAAGTAAGCACTAGCCCCGCCCACCCATCCCCTCTCCAACTTAGTGACCACTCTTATTATTTTCCAGTCTTTTTTTAACAAGTATTACCCCCACCCACCCATCCTCTAATTAATTGTCACTAATTTCCCACTAATATTCCTGTTAAATCATTCGATGTATTTTGACTTAATTTATGGTACATTTTGATGTTAATAAAGACATTATTATTTAAATAAATTGTACTACTAACAAATATTTAATATGACAGGGGCCTTCAAAATGTGTTACTTTGTCAATGTGAGATTTTTCATAAGATTCTGCGATGTTTAACACACAAAAAACAGGAAAAAATCGAAACAATGGTGCCTTTTTTTTTACATAATTTCTGTCACATTTTTTTTGGTTGATTGAACTGTTTTCAGGGGCTTGGAACATAAAAAAAAACAGCAATTTGATCTAGATCATATCATTCTATATCATAAAAAAAGGGAAAAAATTGTTAAACCTCTTTCGCAACTGTAAAGATTTTACCAAATTTCAAACAAAGAGCGGGTGGGCGGGGTTACCACCTGCTAAGGATAAGACCAATTTTGGAAAAGCACATATCCGCTAATTAAATAGAGGGTCGGTGGGGGTACTGGTACTTATTAAGATAAGACTGAAAAATATTAAGACCAGTTATTAGGTTGGAGAGGGGGTGGGTGGGCGGGGCTACTGCTTGTAGAAAAGAGCTAAACTCAGCCCCACGGCCCTCTATTTAATTGGAGGGTATTTTCCAAAATTAGTTTTATAATAGCAGGTAGTAGCCCCGCCCACCCACCCCCTCTCCAATCTAATAACTAGTCTTATTATTTTTTAGTCTTATCCTAACAAGTACTAGCCCCGCCCACCCACCCTCTGTTAATTAGAGGGTATGTCATTTTTGCAAAATCAGTCGTGTCGTATCAGGTAGTAGCCCCGCCCACCCACCCCCTCTCCAACTTAGTAACTAGTCTTATTATTTTTTAGTTTTATCCTAACAAGTACTAGCCCCGCCCACCCACCCACTGTTAATTAGAGGGTATGTCATTTTTGCAAAATCAGTCGTGTCGTATCAGGTAGTAGCCCCGCCCACCCACCTCCTCTCCAACTTAGTGACTACTCTTATTATTTTTCAGTCTTATAAGTACTAATTTCCACTAATATTCTTGTTAAAATCATTCGACGTATTTTGACTTAATTTCTGTTTTTTTGATGTTAATAAAGACATTATTATATAAATAAATTTTACTACTAACAAATATTTTTTTCAAAAGATTCTGTGATGTTTAACACAAAAAGCAGGAAAAATCGAAACAATGGTGCTTTTTTTTTACAAAATTTCTGTTACATTTTTTTGGTTGATTGAACTGTTTTCAGGGGGTTGGAACATAAAAAAGTGCAATTTGATCTAGATCACATCAGTTTATCATTGAAAAAGGGAAAAAATTGTTAGACCTCTTTCGTAAGTGTAAAGATTTTTACCAATATTCAAACAAAGGGCGGGTGGGCGGGGCTACCACCTGCTAGGGATAAGACCGATTTTGGAAAATGACATTAAATAGAGGGTGGGTGGGCGGTACTGGTACTTATTAAGATAAGACTAAAAAATATTAAGAGTTGTCACTAAGTTGGAGAGGGGGTGGTGGGCGGGGCTACTGCTTATAGAAAAAAGCTAAACTGAGCCCCACGGCCCTCTATTTAATTGGAGGGTATGTCATTTTCCAAAATCAGTCTT